ATACACATATATACATATGTATATAATTTTTTTTTCAACTTCATTTTACCATTTTCTTTTAATTTGGAATATAAAGTTCCTTCATCTAACTCCCCTGGTACTGCAAGGCTACAGTCAAGACATTTCATCTCTGTGACTCTGAAACTCCTTCTTTCCCATTATGTCCCCTCATGACTTTGCACACACTCCAGCCAACCAGTAGGAGGCAATAGTGCAGCAACAAATACATGATCCTTCACTGACATCCTATCCTGTGTTGGAACCTACAATCAACCTGCAAGTGCCATCACAGGGAGTAAAACTGCAGTGATGGATGGGAACTATATTTTCAACATAGCACATAGAGTTTAGTTTAGGCAAAATTATTTGAATGGTCATGAAAAATATGTGCACAAAGATTTAATAAAAATTTCCACAGTGAAACAAAATCTATAGCACAGAAATTCCCCTTTTTCCTAATGGGCTATTTTTGACACATGACAATTACAAAAATACAGGTGTTGCCAATATTATTAGCAATGGCTTTGTTTTATTAAATCAAGCTTCCCATTAAGACTTTCTTTTTTGATAAGCTTATAGTTGGAGCTGGCTCGGGTGACCCTGAGCCTTCCCTTAGTTATGCTGGTATAGGCCTAGACTGCTGGGGGTCTTCCCATGATGCTCTGAGCTCCTCTCCTCTCTCTCCATGCATATATACGCCACCATTACGTGTCACTAAGTATGCATCTGCTCTCACCTGTAATGTGTCCTCTCTCTGTCCCTGTACCTTTCTGCAGGTAGCCCTGGCTCTGGAGATCTATGTTTGTTTGTTCTTGTGTCTTGTTGCTTTTCTTCTTTTGTCTCTCCTCTATCCACTCACCCCAACCGGTCGAGGCAGAAGGCCGACCCCCCCCTAACAATAGTAAGGTCTAGACCTTACTTTGTAAAGTGCCCTGAGATAATTTTTGTTGTGTTTTGGCATTATACAAATCAAATTGAATTGAAAATTGAATTCATACTTATAAATATGAAATTAATTGATTTAGGTAATTATTGATTCAAGTCTTATGGCTGAAGTTATGCTGACTAAGCTGCATTTAATGCATCTTTAATTAAAATCTAGCATGATATTAGATTATTATAAACTATGCATTAAAAAGCAGCCTAGATGATGCAGCAGTAAGGATTTACAATATGCTATGCTACTAAGTATCTTTTGGTGTCAAACTATATACTGTCTCTTTCAGTGCCAGTGAGGACCTGGCCTGAAGCAGCCTCCACTCACAAGGTACACACTCACTAAAACACACTCCTCATTAATATGCAAAGTTTTAGGGGGAGTCATGACTAATACATTCCTCTTAATTAATAAATGGTACTCATGAAGCCCTAAAGGAAGTGAGAGAAATTATTTAGATTTTTTCTTACACAGGATTTCCTCTGCATGTTACAAAAGTGGAGGTGGATGCCAACAGTCCCGGTGTTATGTGTATGGGTTTTATGTGGAGGGAAACAGAAAGCAGGCTACATTAATGGTAGAGTAATAGAGGAATAGATCTATGATTAAATATACAGTATGCTAATGGCTGTGAGATGAGACAGGGGAAAGCAACACAGGCTAAACACTGATGGCCATGGCTGCTTGTTAATGCTGTTTAATGTCTGCTGGCCAATTTGAAATTAAGAAGAAATATAAACAGACAGATGCAGTGGGTAAATTGATGGCCAATGAGTACGTGAAAAACTGCCAAGCAATAAATCCTGCATAAAAAAAAAAACATTTAAGGGCTCAGATTTTTTTGTGGCTGTGCAACAACTAGCGTAATCGACATTGTGAAAGGTTTCAAATTTTGATTGGCACAGCTGTTTCGGCAATATGAGACCAGAGATGTGCCTGGCTGAAGGTATGTTTATTAATCAGCCGCCAATCTATATTCAACATCACATAGCCCTTTTGCACTGTATGGTGCTGCACATATACAGCACAGGAAGTAAAACTAGCAGGTGTCCTTGGAGACCACCAACCTACCACTTTGCACTTCTCATTGTGCTTGCACAACTAAAATAGGACGCCTACTGTTAAAGCGTAGCTATATTGAGATTGTATGCTAAATATCTAGGTTCTTGTTTGATGCATTGTGCTTTTCACTGGGGATAAATGTCCAGCACTTTGTAACTTTGTCACATTTAAATTTCCAAGAAAAGCATTTATGAAGTTTTGCTCAGCAGCAGCTTCCTGTTCTCAGCTAGCTGTGAATCAGAACAA